TAAATAAAGGATGCGTTGCATGAAAGAATGGAAAGAGCTCCTAGATTTAAGATCATGCTGTATGTATTCCAAGACTGATGTGAAAAGTCACATTTAGTATCTCGTCTTGTGGCCTTAGGATGATGTTTTTCCTTCTTTAAAATAACCAGTTGAACATGTATAATTTCACCTCTTATAAACAAATTGTATGTGTGCATGAATGAAATACAATCAAATATGAAGGTTCTGTGTGTTCTTTTATTATTTTGTAGTTCTTAGTTTGTGTGTTTTAGGCAGAGCTTGACTATAGGTCAGCTCAAAACTATAGGTCAGTTGGATGCAATTAAATACAATTCTCCTTTTGTCAGACTATGTTCCATGTTTTGTGTGTGTCCTGCTCCCCATGTGCCTTCCCGTGTGTGCACCCGTGACACCTTTTTGTATTATACACATTTAAAACTCATAACATTAAATAACAAACTGACCCAAGATCAATTAGAATCATTAGATAACCATTGAAGGGTCTACTAAATCAGTGGCATCTAGTGATAAACCATCAGAATTTTTAAATGGTCATAACTAAGGTTCGAAAACAGTATGATGTAATGAAGCCAAGAGTTTGAAACAAGCTCTGAACCACTGATTCGAAACAAAAGATTTGTAAATGTTTCAAAACATGTTATGTTTTGAAAGTGGAAATTTAAAGTTAATATTTAAGAACATAACTTTAACTCATATAAAGCCATGTGAAATTCTACTGAAACCTATTTTTATATATTTATGTTGTCTAGGTAATGATGACCTTAGAACAATGCATTGGATAAGCATTAATAGAGTTCTGCAAAGCAGTGGTTTATATATAGATTGGTGGAACTTAATGGTTTTACTTTGGATATTCTGATTTATTCTGAAGTGAGCCACGAACAGAAGGCTTTGAGAACCACTGCTACAAAGTAATATCATCAACCTGTTTAAACTGCTTTATAATGTGTGGAGCCATGAGACATACAGATGTGCAAGAAGCCCTGAGAATCTAAACTTGCTCACTTGGTACCTTAGAAAAATGCATTGGATAAGCACTAATAGAGTTCTGCAAAGCAGTGGTTTATATATAGATTGGTGGAACTTAATGGTTTTACTTTGGATATTCTGATTTATTCTGAAGTGAGCCACGAACAGAAGGCTTTGAGAACCACTGCTACAAAGTAATATCATCAACCTGTTTAAACTGCTTTATAATGTGTGGAGCCATGAGACATACAGATGTGCAAGAAGCCCTGAGAATCTAAACTTGCTCACTTGGTCTTTAGCAGGCAATCCCCATGGAGCAATTTCGGCAAATGCCTGGGGCACAATAGTAATAGGACAGAACTGTTATCTCAGAAGCACTGCAGCTAATAGATTGTCCCTCTATGGATTTAAACCTGCAACCTTTGCATCATCAGCCCAGATCTGTAACCATTAGACTACCTGAACGACAGATCTCGAACAGATTGTAATGCTTTTTGATGCACATGCACATCAAATACGTCTAATTGCATATATGTTGTTTTATGTCTGTATACGTATGCATTTTGAGTAACAGGATTAGGGTATGATGAGCACAGTTTTAATACTCTTGTTAGCTCAGACTATGCACCAATATATCAGATGACTTTCCAAAGACACTTTTTGATGATTATTTTTGGGTTACAATGGAGTCTGAGAAGGCTAATTTTCCTTTGAGGACTCATTAGTGCATGGGGAATGTGGTTGGCATAAGGCAGCCTGCTGTCTCTGAGTGGCTTATTAACTGTACTCTGACTCTTATGTGGAAAAGAGAGCCTATCCTCTAAATACACCATCATTCTGCTCCTCTACCCCACTAGCTCAGCAATGGAGCCTTCATTTGCTTTGTTGCCTACTAGAAAGCATTTCTGAAAACACCAGGGGTGCAAAAAGAGGATGTGCAACATATGCGACTCCACATGAGGCAGGATGCCAAAGTCATAGATGTTTTTTTTGTTTTTTTTTAAATAACCTAAAAATAACTCAAGGTACAATTTTACATTTGCACAGTTTGTTGGACACTTTCATACAAAGCGACTTACAGTGCATTCAAGGTTTACGTTTTCCTGGTATGTGTGTTCAATAGGACTCAAACCCATGACCTTGACATTGCAAACACCATGCCGGATTGGTAAACTAAGACATTTTAATAATTCCATAATAAGGGAAAATTGTATTTTTGCTTCAGTTTTTTTTTCTAAAGATGCCTGTAGCTTTTTCTGCAAAAAAGTGGATAATGCGAATTATGAACAAGCGCAAAGAAATTTAGCCAACATTTTTTCTCAGAACAGCTCAACAGTCTGCTAACTACTTGACAAAATGTAACAACAGATGACAAGTCAATGTGAACTGTTAATTTACAGTGTGCATCTGACTATGGAAAGCTGGAAGGGCTAAACCAGAGTTTACATTACATGAATTTAGCATTACATCACTTGCTCACGAGTGGATCCTCTGCAGCGAATGGGTGCTTTCAGAATGAGAGTCCAAACATCTGATAAAAACATCACAGTAATCCACAAGTAATCCACACGTCTCCACAAAACTGGAGTCATGTGGATTATTTGTGGATTATTGTGATGTTTTAATCAGCTGTTTGGACTCTCATTCTGACGGCACCCATTCACTTATCTACATCTTGAATGGCCTGAGAGTGGGTAAATGTTAAGCAAATTTTTATTTTTTGGTGAACTATTCCTTTAACTAAGCATTTTATATTATGTAGAGTGAGAAAAATGCACTGAAGGTTAGTATTTTTATTTTTTGCTCCAGTAATAATAAAAGCTTTACTTTTATTAAATAAAATGAATGTTTCAGCAGGTATTATACAATGTTTTTGTAGTGTAACAATTTCCCCTTTTGTCATATATTATAATAATATTCAATATTGCAGAGAATGCTTAAAATTACATTAAAAGTTCCACACTTTAATATAATCTTTGATATTTGACATAATTTCCAGCGTTCAAAAGCCTTAAACAGCTGTTTTGATTGCCTGTGGCTGGTGGGCGCAAACATTGATGTTACAAACTCCTCAATAAATGGGTAGTTGGCGCCTGGAAAAAACAGTGGGTGTTTTGTGTCTGTGTTTGACTTTTGTATCTGACTATGGAGTTTATCACACTCCAACTAATTCAAAGCTTTTGTGTGTGTTTCTGTATGCATTTATGTCACACTTTTTGCTGGCATTTCCCGCTATCTATTTAATGACAGCATGCAATGTAATTGCCCTCACTGGAGCAGAACTCAAAGAGGTTCATGGGGGTTCTCATCTCACTTGCTGAAGGGAACCATTGTGTTTATTTGTTCTGCGCATCACTATCCCGGGGCTTAATTGATTGTCTTATTGAACATGGCTTTGGGTTCCTTTATTTATCCAGTGTACCACACTCTTAAAGATAAGGGCAGCTTATCATTTTTACTCATGGAGGTTCACGATGAATCATTAGAAATGTTGTAACACTGTGCAACCAGGTTAATTGCACTATTAAAAGAACACAGTTCGAAGTGGAAATTATCAAGTGATTTTTTCAGTTGTACACCTTAGGCTGTAAGTGGAAAGTTAAAGAAAATAACAAATGCTATCAGTGTATTGGGGATGTATCATGAAACATTTCCATTCATCTCTTGGGATATAAAAAAGAGCTCAGTACTGTTAAATACAAGTAATGCATTACAAATAACATATTCTCAATCATAATCAGTTTGAAAAAAACAAAAAAAAAACTTCCCATATGTTAAAGGTTGTACCTCCAATCAAACTCTATAGTATTTTGATGCAACTTCATCTGGCACTCCAAAACATATATACTGTATACAGTTATACAGTTGCCTACAAGGACAGGTTGTATGTCATCCTTGCATCTTCTGAAACCATGAACAAAACAGTGTTTAAAAAAAATTATAAGCATTTTTGCTAATTGAAATAAAACTGAAATAATACAAAATATAATGAAGTAATACTAATGAACTTCTAATGAAGTAATAGATGAAAAAGTTAAGCTAAATGAAAATTACAAATTTTGCCTTGACAACTAACTGAAAATATATTTTAGTTGAAGTACTAATCACAAATCTTGGGATATAAAAAAGAGCTCAGTATTGTTAAATACAAGTAATGCATTACAAATAACATATTCTCAATCATAATCAGTTTGAAAAAAACAAACAAAAAAAACTTCCCATATGTTAAAGGTTGTACCTCCAATCAAACTCTATAGTATTTTGATGCAACTTCATCTGGCACTCCAAAACATATATACTGTATACAGTTATACAGTTGCCTACAAGGACAGGTTGTATGTCATCCTTGCATCTTCTGAAACCATGAACAAAACAGTGTTTAAAAAAAATTATAAGCATTTTTGCTAATTGAAATAAAACTGAAATAATACAAAATATAATGAAGTAATACTAATGAACTTCTAATGAAGTAATAGATGAAAAAGTTAAGCTAAATGAAAATTACAAATTTTGCCTTGACAACTAACTGAAAATATATTTTAGTTGAAGTACTAATCACAAAAACAAAAACTGAAATAAAAAATAAAGTGAAAGGAAATAGAAATATTTAAGAAATAAGACTAATGAAAATGACAAAACACATTACAATTACTAAAAATTAAACTAGAATTAAACTGAAAATGTGAAATAAAAGCTGATTCAAAATATTATTATTAATAATATTTTTTGCAGTGAATTATTGGCTTAATAAATATAATAAACCATAATAACACATTTATTTAAATAAAAATGTTGAATTAATTATTGATTTATATAATAATTTATTTAAATGATAATTTGAGTGATTTACTGTCTCATTTAAAAACAACTTTGGAGCTGTTTGATGTAATATCTGAGTTTTGAAGCAAAATCAGGATTAGTGGTTTTGAAGCCACCTAGTTGTGCTATTCCTCTGCACGTACTTAAGTGACCTTTGACCTTTGTGGCAGCCATATTTGATTTGGCTCAAAGCTCTCAATAATCACACTACTATCCTACTACTAATTAAACAGCAACATCCTTTGTCATCCTTCATAAAAACACTTTGTGTGTAAGTATTATTGGATTTATAAGATGCTTATCTTCATGTATATGCTGATATTTGTGCAATAATATTTGATATTCAGCTAATTTAAAGGAAGTGGAAGGGCTGGTGCATGTGTCTGTGTTCTGCTGTATATTGGTACTTTAATTGTTGAGATACTTAAGCATACTGTTTCATCCATGTCTTGTTAACTTAAGAAGAGTGTTTATTCTGTTTCAATGTGTTTTTTTGAAGTGGTTTTGTAAAAGTAACAAGAGTTAGAACTGAAAATGTCCTTCTGTTGTGACAAATGTGAATGACTTGTTTTGAAATTGTTGGATTTCTAATGTCAGAAACCCAATAGCGTTGACATATGACCATGTGACATTTCGAATTCAGCAATAGCTGTTTGGTGTTCGGAAATTTAACACTTCAATCACTCTTAGGACTGAATTGGAAAGATACTTATATTGTCATCAAACTTTCATGACAACTTGTAATGATTTGTTTGAGATGTGAAATTGTATGATATTGTATATCTTAGATTAGTTAAATTCATTTTCAATTTTATATATACAAATATACAATTTTGCCATTTCATGCTAAATTACTTCTCATGGATTTCCCCCCCTCAGTTGTTATATTATGATAAGGTTTACTTCGTTGTGCAGGTTTCTGGCTGTGAATATAATGATGTAAATGTCTCTTTTTGTTGCATGAAATTTGACTACCAAGTGGATCTCTGTGAAAATGGTGAACAATGTATGATATGATACTTTTAAGTATATTCAGCTTTTTGTCATTTCTAAGAGAGCTTACTGGACACATTGAGGTTTGGAGCTTGACGCGGAACTGTGAAGAGTTGCTTTACAGTTAAAAAAAACCCAGCAAGAAAATGTTGCTCTTCATGTTATTTTAGTGCAATATTTAAACTGAAAGCCTCCCTTTGAAACGCAGACACAAGGACAGCGTTGAATGTTGCTAGTGAGACACCCTGAAGTACAGTAATCATCACTACAGCAAATGTATACCTGCTTTCAGGTTTTGAGTGCATGCTCCTTAAGCTCTTTAAGAGTCTTTATTACCTGAAGGACTGGTTTGCAGGTTTAAAATGTTGTCATGAATGTTGGCAGAATAAGTGTCTTTCATGACCCTTACCAGTTTTTTAACTCTGTGGAAAACATGATGAGTGTGTATAGGTTAGATTTAGTGATTGTTGATTTGGGATTTGGACAAGATCTACTTTAATGAGATTTGGCTTTTCTGACAAACATGTCAGATGCTTGAAATTTTTAAATCCATTATTATGTCCCCACTGGATGCAACAAATGCCTCGTTTATGGGTTTTTATTGTTTTCGAATCATCGCTCTGGCCTGACAGGGCATCATCACAGTGTGGTAAGGGGCGTCACATTTCCGTCACACGCTTGAGGTATTCGGCCAATCATAACGCACTGGATAGCTGGCCAATCACAGCACACCTCGCTTTTCAGACCGATGAGCTTTGTAAAAATCGACGCGTTTCAGAAAGGCGGGGCTTAGAGGAGAAACAATAATGTACAGTATGTGGAAAATAATGTGTTTTTTTTAACCTTAAACCGCATAAACGCATTTCATTACACCAAATACACAAATTTAATGTTCTTTTTAGCAACATCATATGACGCCTTCAACATTGAGAAAGTTAAAGGTGACATGTCTGGCTCATATATTAAGAAAACTGTTACATATTCATTAACCCACTATTTGGAAATGTATGTTCCAGTTTGTATTTACAGTGCACAAAATAGACATTCAATGCACATACTCTAGCAATGAGAGACTTATTTATTAAAAAAAAAGTTTCTCTAATACCAATCAGATGCAAATGTAGTGTAATATTTGGCAGCGCCATCAAATCCCAAAACCATTGTGATTTATAGCCCAATCTCAGCTGTAGGTGGTGAATGAGATTGACATTTGGGTTAATTTATTCTTTTCTATGCTGTTGCCTATTCTTCTCACAGACCCTGGTCTTTGTTAACCGTCTGCAAGATCAGTCAATAGTAATTGATCGCTGTTGCAGGATTACTCTGCTGCTACTTCACGATGCATTCAGAGAAGTCATTTATATCATTCCTGTTGCCCATTCATCATAATTTACCTGTTAACAAGCAATCTCATACACTCATAGACAGAGCAGATACATTCAGCATATGTGATCACTCAATTCTATTAGAAAACAAACAAGGAAGATAAGCAACAATGGATTCATCCTTATTAATGTCAGCTACTAAAAATAACCTTGGCGGCAGGAAGGCTGATGACTTCAATCTATTGAAAGACAGTTCTAGAAAATTTTGGAAATTTCATTCTTAAGCTCTTTGTAGATGTTTTTTTTTTTTTAACAAATATATTTACCATATCAGAATTACTATAGTTTTGAAAAAAAAAAAGTTTATTTTGAGTAAATTTGCCTTTTTAATGTAGTTTTTTTGTCAATATTCTGTTATTATTTTTAGTCATTGTCTGCTATTATTTTTTGGTAAGTACAGTATTTATTTAGTTTTGGAGTCAAGATTTTTTTATTAGTTACCAAAAATTATTTCATTTGTTTTTTGTTTTTTATTTTAATAATAGTGCTGTACCATACCTGTTCAATTTTTTTTCTTAAAGAAAATGTAAAAGTGGTTTCTAGGTAGTTGCTTATTGGTTCAATTTGGTAATTCCGTTATTAATATTTTTTTAATCCTTCTGATATGACTTGCATCTCCGAAGTCTAAAGGATTTTTTTCTCATCTGCCAGGTGAAAACTATGAGTCATATTTGCTTGAGAATATAATAGCACACCTCTCCTCAAACTACATGATTTGCAGTGTCTGTTATTTCTGTAGTTCATCTGCTTCAGCGTGAGTTATGCGGCAAACTTTAATGCTTGGGTAAGTAGTCAAAAGTACTAGAGAAGATATATATCTAAAGGTGCAGTGCTGCTATGTGTTTCAGTTTGAGGTCACACTTGAATGATGTCTTACTGTGTACAATGCATCGCAGGGCAAGTGTAACCTCTGTACCAGATGATAAATTGCACTTATCTCATCTTCCATAGCACAAAGGATTGGTGTTTTATTAATCGAGAATCATTAGATTACTGTTAATGGAAAGTGCTTTTCTATCTCAACTCCTAATGAATTGACTCCATGATGCTGCGGTTGTGGAGCTTCTGTTAACGCAGTGTAATTCTAAACCTTAATGGACCATTATGCCTCTATCGGGATCATTTGCTGTTTTTTTTATGCCTTTGTCTTTTCTTACTCTACAGAAAACGAAAGCAGCTCCTTTGTCCATAACCTCTGTTAATGTCCGAAAAGGACAAAAGGTTGTCTTAAAATATTGAAAAAAATATTGTCTTAAAAATTGTACTCTTCAGATTTGCTTGTGACACATTTTGGAGTTTGGTGACGCTATTTTTTTGTTTTGTTTTTATTTAGTCTTTAAAAAAAGCTATTCTCTGAGGAAATTGCAACAAAAGTGCTAATTGGTATCCAGTTCCTGCAAAAACTGTCAGCAGATGTTCCAATAATTCCATAAGCGATTGTGTTTTTAGAAGAACGTTTAGATTGTTGAGAACAATAATATATTTGAGGCAGTTTTTTTTTTTTTTACAGTGCACAGACCCATTTTAATTATGCTGTGTGGAACAATATATTTGCATGCATATGCACTGTTAGAAGTTGCATATCAGTATCCTCAGTATCCAGTAAACCGTTCACCCCCACACATATGCACTGTTAGAAGTTGCATATCAGTATCTTAAATAGTTCACCCAAAAATTTAAAATTGTTATAAATTTACTCATCGTTTATCCAAGCTGTAGATGAGTTTTTGTCATCGGAACAGATTTGGAGAAATTTAGCATTACATGACATGCTCACCAGTGGATCCTCTTTAGTGAATGGGAATAAAAAAATCACAATAATTCGTAAGTAATCCATATGACTCCAGTCCATCAATTAACGTCTTGTGAAGTGAATACCTGTGTTTATAATAAACAAATCCATCAAGACATTTGTATCTTTAAACTATTGCTTCCAGCTAAAAATGAGAGGCCTCTATCCATAATATTGCTTCCTGCAGTTAGATGGTCATCTCGTCTGCATCAGGAGAAAAATATGCAAAGAATAAGCTGTTGTGAAAACAAGCAGCTGTTACAAACAAAAACAGTTCCCTTTCAGTCAGTCACGTTCGACGTTACGTCAGTCGTGACTGACGAATTGGGATCTCGCCCGAGAGCCCAATCACCTTTGAGTGTTAACTAAACAAGCCAATGACAGTTGGCATGCGTGTTTCGCCACGCGCACCCCGCCCCGCAGCGCGGGTATAAAAGGAGAGCGCGATCGACCTGAAGGACGCGTACTTTCATGTTTCGATCCTCCCTCGACACAGGCCATTTCTCCGCTTCGCGCTCGAGGGGCGAGCATATCAGTACAAGGTCCTCCCCTTCGGGCTATCCCTGTCACCTTGTGTCTTCACCAAGGTCGTGGAGGCAGCCCTCGTTCCATTGAGGGAAGCGGGCATTCGCGTTCTCAACTACCTCGACGACTGGCTCATACTGGCCCAGTCTCGAGCGCAGTTGTGCGAACACAGGGACACGGTGCTCAGTCACCTCAGTCGGTTGGGGCTTCGGGTCAACTGGGAAAAGAGCAAACTCTCCCCGGTGCAGAGGATCTCTTTTCTCGGCATGGAGCTGGACTCGGTCAACCTCTCAGCGCATCTCTCAGTAGAGCGTGCACAGTCAATGCTGAACTGCCTGGGGTCTTTCCAGCGCAGGAGGGCGGTTCCACTGAAACAGTTTCAGAGGCTCCTGGGGCATATGGCATCCGCAGCCGCTGTCACCGCCGCTCGGGTTGCTTCATATGAGACCGCTTCAGCGTTGGCTTCACGACCAGGTCCCGAGATGGGCATGGCGACACGGCACATACCGGGTTTCAGTCACCCCGTTCTGCCGTCGGACCTTCAGCCCGTGGTCAGATCTTTCCTTTCTTCGGACTGGGGTGTCCCTAGGGCAAGTATCCAGGCATGTTGTTGTGTCAACAGACCTTTTAGGGATCAGGTGGTGAACTTGCAAGCGCTGGCCCAGCCATTGCTCTGCTCTGTCCCGTTCGCGCTTTGCGCACTTACGTGGACCGTACGCAGAGCTTCAGGACCTCAGACCAGCTCTTTGTCTGCTTCGGGGGTCCCTGTGTTCCACTTCGCTGCCCCACTGCGGGTACGTCGGTGGTTTCCCTGGTCCCGCTTGTTCGGTCGCTGGGCGCCTGGTTAGCGCTCCCCAGGCCGTCTCGCTGGTTCATGAGAACCATCAGACTCGGCTATGCGATTCAATTCGCCCGGCGCCCTCCCAAGTTCAGGGGCACCTCGGTGCTGGACAGGGATGCTCCTGTCTTGCGTGCCAAGATCGCGGTCCTGCTGGCGAAGGACGCGATACAGCCGGTCCCTCCAGCCGAGATGAGGTCGGGTTTCTACAGCCCGTACTTCATCGTACCCAAGAAAGACGGTGGGTTACGACCGATCCTGGACCTGCGCGTACTGAACCGGTGTCGATCACGCTTGCTGCGCCAGTCCCCTCTATGGACCGGATACGTGCGCTTTTTTGCTTCTCAGTTCAGTTCCCCATGGCGAACCCTGTTGGAGTTCCTCCCGCACCCTCGGCGGTCAGGCGTGGCGGAGCGCCAGACGCCAGGCTCAGCACTCGTGTGCATGCCCAAGGTCAGCCCTTGTGCTGGGCTAGGTGCCCGTGTGTAGTGATTCCCCCTTCGGGTGATCCCACATGTGTATTCTTCCACGGTACGGCTCCCCTCATGGTAAGCCCGTGTCTTTCCCTGGCAGTCGTTCGCTGCCATCTCTGCTGCGTAGTTATCTCACCCCAGGGGGGTTGAGTCTACCGCAGGGACTTCCATATGTAGTACTGCCCTGGGCCAGTCCATATGTGTAATTCCACATGATACCTCCTATGCGCAGGATGTGGCTTCCGTAGCATTCCGAACTGGGTACGCTTTCCCAGTGTTATCCAATGTACCACTGTATGGAACAGCAGTGCGGACACCTCTGCCTAGCCGCTGTCCTATCTTCCGCCCCAGCTGGTGTGGGGGGACTTGCCGGCTTCCGCAGGGCACTGGAGGGGGTCAGCAATAGTGGCGTTTTCCATACGGATCCCAATTCGTCAGTCACGACTGACGTAACGTCGAACGTGACTGACTGAAAGGGAACGTCTAGGTTACTTGTGTAACCCTCGTTCCCTGAAGGAGGGAACGGAGACGTTACGTTCCGTCGCCACAGTTGCTGTACCACCGCTGTACGGCCGGGGCACGTAGTCTCGGCTCCTCAGCGAAAAACTGATGTGCGTTTGCACGCGCTCTCCTTTTATACCCGCGCTGCGGGGCGGGGTGCGCGTGGCGAAACACGCACGCCAACTGTCATTGGCTTGTTTAGTTAACACTCGAAGGTGATTGGGCTCTCGGGCGAGATCCCAATTCGTCAGTCACGACTGACGTAACGTCTCCGTTCCCTCCTTCAGGGAACGAGGGTTACACAAGTAACCGAGACGTTATGTATGGTAGACCGCTATTCTCTTTATAAGACATTTATTGGTCAAGACATTAACTGATGGACTGGAGTCGTGTGGATTACTTGTGGACCATTGTGATTTTTTTTATCAGCTGTTTGGGGCTCTAATTTTGACGGCACCCATTCACTGCAGAGGATCCATTGGTGAGCAAGTGATAACGCTGGATGACACGATCATCCTCAGGTTTTAGTTCATGCAGCTTGAGTCTTATGAATCAAATATTAAGATATTCTGAATTTCATGTTATTTTTTTTTAGTTCAAAATTTCCCTCTAATTTGTAATGGAGGAATATTAACTAAGAAGTATTCACTTTCACAAGCAGTCTCAGGCTTTTGGTCCCCACTGTACTTTTGTATTTATTTTTTGCCTTCTTGTTTCATCTTGTTTAGTCCGTCTCAGAAGTTTATTTGGCTGATGGAACAGTAAACTGAGAAGAGACAGCAGCAGAAGCCTTTCTCTGAGCTCTCCAGGTGATTATCTGGAGATTAGATTATGATGAAATGTTGCACCTTCTAATTTAAATATTCATTTAATCTGTCATTTCCTGCAGAGTGTGCTATCAGAAGAATGCAGCACAATTTGAAATGCCCGAAATTCTTTCCCTCAGCTTTCTGATTGCCCATACTGAGCGCTTGACTTTAAAGGGAGATTAGTTCACGGAGATGGGAAAACATGAATTTAATTGCTTTTCAAAGAGTATGCAAAGCATGTTTATTATAAAGCTGAAAGCTAACTCCTCCTTAGTACACATCTCCTCTCCGCCAGCATTCCAAAGTCTGCTTGTGTTCCTAAAATAAATGCAGTAACTAAAACTCTATTTACATATGCTTCAGGCTGAAAGGCCCCGAAGACACACGATGCACCTCTCAGTTCCTCGCAATTTATCAAAACAGCAAACACTCCTTTATCTCACTCCCGCAACACACAAGCCAAATCTAACAGAAGAAGACACCAGAAATGCACCATGCGAGAAAGCAAATAAACTAATCACAGTTAGGTTAGTCAGGATCTTGGTGTAAAATGGTAGATCTCACCACCAAGTGTGACGAGAACTTGCGTGAAGAGGGGATTTTTAACTGTCACAGGCTTTTGACCGCAGTGCGCTTCTCTTTTTAAACATGCTGTGAAAAGTGCTGGAGCTGGATGTGTCGACTACTGCCGACTACTGCTGACTGACTCAGCTCCCTCCTACATATGACAGCAGGTACGGCAGCGCTCTCTGTCTATTTGTCACCATCTTTTGACTTCCTGTTTTAATTCACTCGCTTGTGCCTGGCAAACTTGTCTCTCGCTGTTTTTGTGTGCATTTGTGCACTTCTGTCTCTTTTGTGGTGTGTATTTGTGGCTTATAGTTTTCTCTTCCATTCCCACTCTCGAAACTCTTTACAGAAGCAACTTTGGATTTTGGTTGTACAATGCTTGTTCTAAAGGTTGGATACCTTGAAATTGAATCTAAAAACCTTTCACTTTCATTCCTCATACATGCATCCTTTCTCCTTTATAACACCCTGTGATCCTGAGGGCATGATGGGATATTTTAAAATTGAGATCTCACATTGAGATGTTAAACCATAGCCTGGGAGAAGAGCTCATCTGAGAGCAGGTTTTGTTTTTACGGTTCCGGTGTTTCACTCTGCTTTAAAAACAAAACAAAAAACTTTAACTAGCCCATTCTGTAAAACCAACAAAGCAGACCAGGTTGGGAGACCAGGTTGGGAGACCAGCTAAGACTGGGAAACTGGTATTATGCTAGTTTAAGGTGTTATTTTCAGTAGAACAGCAGTTCCTCTCAAACTGCAGTACATCTGTTCATGAGAGAGACACATTTTTAATACAGTGAAATAACCCTGTCACTGTTTCTGTGGGAATAACCTTCATAGCGATACAGAAATCATCTGCTCTATGCACAGTATTGTTGCTATCAATATTAGTATTTAGACTCTTAATTCACATATGAACATGCATGAATGAATGTCATTGCATTAGATGACAAAACAGCATTTGTTTTCAAGCAGGATATTTCACAGAAAGTTTGTTGGAAGGATTTAAAAATATTTTTGACAGAAGTCGTCTCTGGCTGTTTACTTGATCAAAGTAAATACAGTAATAAGTTGAATCATTATTATTATTATTTAAAATATATTTTGTCTATTTTAATATAAGATGTAATTTATTCCTGTTATGATAAAGCTGAATTTTCAGCAGCCATTACTCCAGTCTTCAGTGTCACACGATCCTTCGGAAACTGTTGTAATACACTGATTTGCTGCTCAAGAAACATTCATATTATCAGTTTTGAAGACAGTTGTGCGATTAAATTATTATTTTTTTTTGTGAAAATGTGAAACATTTCTAAATAACAGCATGTTTGAAAAATATGTATAAGCAATAATTTCTTTAAATAAATAAATAAATAAAATGCATTTTGCTGACCCCAAAGTAGTTGAACCGTAAAGTATACAACATAACAATAGATATACTGTTCTCTGGACATTTTCTGATTGTCGCATGTTAATTTATTGAATGTGAACATAGTTAATATGAAAAACAAATTAGAAGTAATAGCAGGGTTATGTTAGTTCTGAGAAAAGGTCTAGTACACTCTTAAAAATAAAGGTGCTTTAAAGGTTCTTCACAGCGATGCCATAGAATAACCATTTTTGGTTCCACAAAGAACCATTCATTCAAAGGTTCTTTAAAGGGGTCATATGATGCTTTTTTAAAGATCATTATTTTGTGTATTTGGTGTAACAGAATATGTTGACATGCTTTAATGTTCAAAAAACACATTATTTTTCAAATACTGTACATTATTGTAGGTCCTATATGCCCCGCCTCTCTCAAACGCTTAATTTTCTACAAAGTCCCTCCTTCCGACAAGAGCAGTCTGCTCTGATTGGCCAGCTGACCCAGTGCATTATGATTGGCCGAACACCGCAAGCACTCATCGGAAATGTTTCTTCAGATGTTAAAGGTTTTTTATAGAACCATTTAGACAAAACGGTTCTTCTATGGCATCGTGAAGCACCTTTATTTTTAAGAGTGTAACAACTAATTCTATTTGCATATGCCTCTTGCTTGATGTTTTTTAAAATAGTAATTTAATTATTTATTTTATCTGGCTTAAGTGTCCAAATGCAGTATTCTTTGAAACTCTTATAGGTAGCAAAAGCTACAAGTCACTTGAGCTATTCTTTTGATCAAATGAAATTAACTGTGGCTAAACTACAAGGCTACTAACAAAGAGACATTGAAGATATTTAAGGGGGAAATACCTTCATCAACAGGAGAGCTGAACAGGTCGCCCACTCGCCCTAGCACTGTGAAGACCAATATATACAGTACACATTCTTCCAATTGTCCTTTCCCCCTCTTCTCTTCGCTGCTGTAGAGCCGTTATTTTCATAAAGGCCAGAACCTATGGCATTGAAACATTTGTATTCACTAAAGAGATGCTGAACAATTTCGAATAGAGTTCTAGTAGAAAGCTCATCACAGCACTGTCCTTGACTTGTTGAGATGTTTGAGAGATGTACTGCACTTCCAACAGGAATACATTATTGGATGATGAACTCTGGGGCTGTCAGAGAGAAACAAGCAAATAACTGTAAGATAACCCTCATGCACAGCCATGCAGATAAATAGTTTGTTGTCTGTTATCTTAATAATGTCTACCCCTGAATTGATTTAGAAACGAAAGGAGACATCCCGTCAACACGCTGAAGATGCTCGTGGATAACTCAACTCATGCTGAGCGAATGTGACTTTACTAGACAGCAGACAGACAGTCGTATTCTTTCAAAGGCTTCTTCTTCTGTAACTTGTGTTATGTTCTAACCTGTTCCCTTTTGAGTAGAATGGCACCCTCATTTCCTTTCATAAGTGTTAAACTGCATAGTTTCTCCAGCCCAGCTGTTCTCCCGTGTCGCATATGCTGAACTGCTCTGGTTTAATTGTAATGAGGCAGAGGGAGAGAGAAAAGTGAGGGTTATAATCATTACATAGACCCACTTCTCTATAGTGTAATTTTAGCTATGCTCAGAGGGAACATTGATTGCGTTATTCCTAGGATGTTATGTATTGCAGTTACAAATCCCTTTCGTATAATCTTAATTGCAGTATATGGAATTGACCAAAAGCCATAGTATCAAACATACAGAAAAAAGTCAGAACAGTGCCCACAATTTTATTTTATAAGTATACATTTTTAAGAATGATTAGCAATTATGCTTTAGAGCTGTTATACGTGTGCCTTTCTTTGTGGTTTTATTGACATACGTATCCATTGGCATAGCTGTATGCCTACATTTACATGAATAACATATACTGTATAAATGACAGCATTTCTTGTACTATTTTGAGACTAGTCTCAAAAGTCTTAGAATGTCAGTTGATAATGGTTCCTTTCATTTCAGAATCAGTGGGAGAACTAAAAACAGCATGTGAATTCAAAGTCATGTGGATGAATGACAAGATGTCAGTGAGAAAAAACATTTGTGCATGATGGTATAAAATTCTACTTCAAACATTTTTTTCCCCCCGTTTATTTTTTCACTTTTTGTAAGGGTATAATCATACTTAACTGACAGCACAGAAAATATAAACATCTTTTAAAGTTTTTGGGATTGTTTAGTTAAAAAATTGTCATTGTTTACTCATGTTGTTCCAAACCTGTATGATATTCTGTCTTCAGTGGAAAAAAATTTGAATGTTTGAAGACACTTTTTTTTTCAATATAATAAATATTAATGCTTCAAAATGACTTGTGCGCTGTATCCCACATCTTTTGAATTAATATGATAGCTTAAAAGGATTCATGTACAGGTATGAGTCAGATGCCACTATGTTTATTATAACCTCTAATGAATGTGTAATGTAGCAACTTTTAGTCTGTTCCTTACAATAAGCTATTGTATGGCTTTGGAAGACTTGGAATGTAGTCCTCACAAGCCACTTTTATGGTACTTTTTTCAAATATTTCGGAGCTTGACAGCCTCAATCCTCATTCACTTTCATTACATGGAAAAGAGTAGGTAGGAAATTCACCTATAAACTCAACATTTTGTGTTCCATGGAAGATAGAAAGTCATACGGTCTGGAAAGACGTGGGGGTGAGTAAAAGATGACAGAATTTTCATTTTTAGGTGAACTACCACTTTAATCTTCAGGGCCTTTTGAGAAATTCTCTTTTTCACTGCAACCTTTTCCAATGCTCTCATGTGTGGTGAGTCAGTGAGATATACGTGCAATATCCTGTGAGCTGTCTGGTTTCACCACCCATCACCTACAGACCTTAAAAGCTTCTCTCAGCTTTCCCGAACGCATTTAAGTAACCAACCATGAACAAAGTGTCACTGTGTATGAATTCAATATGAAATCCCACCTACCATGCATTAGTTATATATGCATAGTTTACATGGAGCTGGTGACACTGTATAATAATGCATTTTAACTTCTGTACTTTGAAAACGTACCAGGCATAGGAACGGCCATGAGCCAAGTGTACAACCTAGTAATTTCAAAGAAAGAATTGTAGCTGCCTAAGAATTAATGTAGCTATTCATAAGTGTTGCTTAAAAGCCAATGAGCAATTTAACAGTGTGCTACTTTTAGATGCACCTGTGGGATTCATGTACACACATGAGTGCATTTAGCATTGGCATGAAATATAAAATACTCACATTGCTGGTGTTCTGTTTCATGTTCTTGTATGGATTTGGCCTCAGGCGGTCTGTCACACTGCACTTTGATATAAAGAGATTTGAACATTTTTGTCGGCTAGTAGTGTACGTTAAAGCAGATTCCAAAAGTCTGAGACCAAATTGAATATCTGATTCAAAATCTCATATAAACCTGAAAAGATTGAGACAAATTGTATACCAAGAATGAAATATATAAAATGAAGAAATATTTAAGATTCTGTACCATTTTTAGGTAAATACACAATTTGTGACACTGATTATGTGAACATCTTTGTATCAGTGGTTAGATGTTGTTTCGTTGAAACTCAAGATGTTCTTTGGATAATCTCAAATCATGCTGGATAACATAATCTTGTATGTAATGTAATTTCATATCCCATAATACACTCTATAATGTATAGCTATACCTGTAATTAAAATATTGTAGTGTGTGTAGAAATATATTTGACCACCATGTTGTCATGACCTTAACAAGACAACAAGTTGTCCAAAAATCCCCAAAAATTAAGATTTGTTTTCAGTTAACAATTTTTTTTCTTGTGTATCATCACACATATTTTCATATATGTAATGTGCAACTAGGCAAACAAAGTCAGATAACATTTTTGAGTATGTATTCAGCTTTGTGTAAACCCATGCCCTAATTCATGAAGAAGAAATTAATTGAGTGTTTAAGCTATATTATGTAAAAACACAGTGTAGTTTTTGGCTTCATTGCTACATATATATGCATTTTGCAGTGTGTATGTTTCCATATATTTTTGTTCTATGCAGGAAAATGGACAAACCAAATGCAAAGACATCCTGAATTTTTTCCCCCACTCAAATCAAATTATGCTGATAAATTAGAAAGTGTTCTCAGACTTTTGGTTACTATTGGTGATAGTTGTTCAAATTGTCTGCACGAAGCTCTGGGCCATGTGCCCATTAATTATTTAATCATGCTTTTTCATTAATTTAATCAGCCAATTGCAATCAACCAATGCGAGTAACATACACATATGCTGTGTGTAAACTGCTAACGCTCCAAAACACTGTGATATCAGTTTTTAACTGCAGAGATGTTTCTTATCCTTTAATCTACACTCTCAAGTGAGTGAACCAGTACTTGCAGAAGGTAAGTTCTTCTGAGGCTCACGTCTGTTGTGTATTCATCTCATAGTCTGCCGTCTGTGTGCTTCCATGCGCTTAGAAATGGTTTGTTTCTCCTTCATTTTCATCGCTTCTGCCCTGGACGCTCCCAACCCCGTAGCTCCTGGAGCGAAGCCTAAAAGACACACATCCAAGCATAGAATATATATGACAGAAGAAAAGGGGGGAGATTATCAGTAAATGATATTTTCATGGGCAGCCATAATTCAGCCTGCATTTGCAGACATTTGAATAAACACCATAAATTCAGGCAGCAGCGGCTCTTTTCTGGCGGTAATAAAAAGTAAAATGAATTGTGGGGAGGTTTTAATGCGTGGCGCGTCTGATGTGGAGTGATAGGCATCTGCTGGGGCACGAGGAGCGAGGAGAACCGGATTGGGGGGGGGTGTTGAATCGCTCATGGGGCCTAGAACTCCATTTCACTTGTAGATTTCTCTCGTCTTTTCATTTCGCCATTGCTCACCATCCTGCTTGACATAGGTGGCAATAACAAAGGGCTGACAGGTGAGGCTATATACTGCCCTCCACCACAGGAAGGGCGATAGGTTCATGTTTGACAGGGGCCACGGACCCCAACAACCTGCGATACTAAATCTACTCTTAGAGTGACTGAGAGAGTATGAGAAAGGCAGAGATGGATTGATTGTCACTGTCAGGCTTGTTTATGTATTTTCTTGATGGTATGGCTAGGAGGTATAGCATTTATATACAGTAGCTTAGTATATTTATATGTATATATCATATAGCTTATCTTGCAATTTGCGTTTATCAATTTACAATAGTGCCTTTAATGTGAAAAGTGATATGTAGTTCATTTATTCAGCCAAAAATAGCCATTACCAAATGGCATTTATTTGATTGAAATTAAAGTAAAACGGAGATATTGTGAAAAATTATAAAAATAATAATAAATAATAATAATACATTTATTTTTATATAGCGCCTTTAAAAATTAATTGTCAAAGCGCTTTACACTAAAGAGGATATAAAGTTTAAAAGAAAAAAAGAAAGTAGAGAGGTAACAAAAACACATCAAAAACAATGTAAGAGAAAAACAATACCCCTCCCCCCAACACCTTACAAATCACAGATAAGCAATTATCTTTAAACACATTAAAAGATTCTGCATGTTTAATATTAAAGGGGAGAGAGTTCCAGAGTTTTGGAGCAAGGGAGGAAAATGCCCGGTCACTAGGGCTTTGAATCTTTGGGTAAACAGCAAATCGATTCGATTCACGATTCATAGGGTTTTGATTCGATTCAAGAACGATTTTTGCTAATTCAGAACGATTCAATTCGATTCCATTCACAATTAAATTGGATGCGATTCGATTAACAATTCGATTCTGCATTCTTTAAGTACATTCACAGGATTATTTAAATGCTTCCCCTAAATTCTATATTTGCTTAGTCAGGGGGCAAATTACACAAAAATCCTCTTGTCCATTGTTAGATGTTAGTTTAATGATGCTATGGCAAGACATATGGCATATGAATTTACACTATAAAAACTTAATATATTTTAAACACATTTATTTCAAACCAAGTATAGTTCAAATCTATTACTATATTTACTGGCATATATCGCTCAAGACTTACTGATATAAAAATTATAACTAAACTTTATTTGGAGTACTACTTGTGCACAATGCACATTTCTTAATATTAAGTCTCAAATGTGTTTTAATGTCACTATTGATGAGAATTATGATCTTTGAATAATATCAGTCTTTAAATGCAAGCTATTTAAAGTGTACCTGAAGTATACTTGCAATAGTTCCACTTTAGTACAATCAAATATACTTTAGTAATTCAATATATCTTTATTTGGACTTCAGCACTACTTCCTCACAATTAAAGTGCATTAAATTCAAAATTAGTTGTTCCAGTTTAGCAGACTTTAAGTATATCATGTATACCCCCTGGTTTCACGGACAAGCTTAATGCTAGTCCTAGACTAAAATGAATGTTTGAGCTGTCTCAACTTTATAAAAGCTGCTTAAATATCTTAATTTATTTAAGGCCTAGTCCTGGCTTCTGTGAAACCGGGCCTAAAAGTACAATTGCAGGGTATTTTTATTAAAGGGGTCATATGATGCAATTTCAATTTTTCCTTTCTCTTTGGAGTGTTACAAGATCTAGGTGCATAAACAAGATCTGTAAAGTTGCAAAGATTAAAGTCTCAAATCCAAAGAGATATTCTTTATAAAAGTTAAGAGTCAACCACTCCTACCTAAAACGGCTCATTCTAACACGCCCCCACATCTTTAAAAGTTCGTATTAACTATTGTGTAGCATAGTATGAATATATAGGGTAACAATT